GTGTGTCTACGTACGAAGGGGTGTAGCAGATAAACTTGAGGGGAGGAAAGAGGTTGAAGAGACGCTTAGGGAACATCTCGAAATTGCAGTGCCCCATGTTGTTCATGAAGTCTATGTAAGTAAGGTATGCAATAACGGGAACAATGGAGAGGATCCCACAGAGGGACGCCGTTACTATGGGTATGGCGAGGAGTAGAGTGTAGGCGATGTGCTCGGCGAAGGGGTGCACCACAGCTGTCAAGTTATTTTATATACGACTAGTCTGATATTTATGTGTGTGGGATATATAAAAGTTAGAAGGAATTAATGATGGATATATGAAGGTCGTACACGTGATGGGCTCGGTGACAATGGAGGAATGGTGGTGAGAGTGGTAGCGAGAGTAGAGGAAGTGGTGGTGGAGAGCTCTGTGGAACCAGTAGTAGAGGAACTCGACGGGGCCAGCGTGAAGGAGAGCCATGAGGATGGCTCCGTCTGGTCTCCAGAGGGGAAGGCGAGAGGATCCTGGGAGCTTGATGTTGGCGAGGTACATGAGGAGAGTGTTGAAGATGATTTGGTCGTCCCAGGTTCGCTCTCGGTCCACTTGCTCGAACTCGATGGGCTTGTCCACGATCTTCTTCCTCCCCTTGGCAGTCCTCTGACGGGACACGCTGATCCATATCTGGCTGTGAACGATTCTCCACAGCATCAACGCCACTATGAGCAGTCTCCCAAGGTCTTTCTCCTCGTCCTCAGAGGTCGCGTACGAGTGCATGCTCGCTATCACCAACGGCGCCACCAAGAGGTACTTAAAGCTACCAAGGGGACTCCATGGCCACTCCGTCAGAGCTCCGGGCCTCGACGCCATCCAAAGATACCTGAGCTATAGTTTTTAATTACCACGTACGTACTTACTCGTTCGAAGCAAGTAAACTCGTTTAATTTGGGGATACTTGTTGAGAATGTGACAATGATATATAGAGGCATCACCAAGGCCATGTGGGCTAGCTACTGAAGAAGCACATGGTGGTGGGCCCGCTTTACGAGTATAGAGATGTTTACTAGTAGTAACTTACTACTATACATCATAGGGAATTGAATGTGATGCCTAGCCAAAATTCAAACGAAACAAACGAAAGAAACCTCAAACTTCAAACATGTTAGAAGAAGAGGAGCCAACAGGCATTGAATGTGATGCCTAGCTAAACTTCAGCTTTTTACTCTCTTCACACTTCAATGTCATTGGCCCACCTCGACCAGCCACCATCGCCTGCCCATTGAATGAAGAAAGCAGGAAACTCCACCATCCCCCATTGCCGCCCATTGAATGAAGTAAATGAAACTCCCCTACTTTCCTTCTTTCTTCATTCAATGGAAAAGCCCAAACATCAAAGCCCAATTATCAAAATGCCTTTTGTCTCGCTTTT